CGAGGATGTGAACTGCTCTAAAAAAAAATACATTTTATAAAAAAAAATCTGCCATTGATTAGTTCAGTAGTTGTCCTTCTGCTCCATTGGTAGTAAACAAGGGTTGAATAGATTCTCAGAGTCAAACTTTTTGCAGTGGCAAAGTTCACCAAAAATGAGGTGATTTTGAACATTGATATCACTTCAATATTAACTGAATCCCAATGTCAACAGATGCACAAAGAAGCAAGTAACAAGTTCTCATATCTGTTAGAGAAGTTAGAAGATTCAGCAATAAAATCTTCAACTGCTAAAGGTAGTGTCTGGCTGCAGAGTGAAGACCAAGTTCCTGAAGTACCTTGTAAGGAAAGTGTGATAGTTCAAGCTGCCATTGCTCATCTGGGAGAGCAGAATATTCACTCTGCGCTTGAAATCTTGCAGCAGATTGATAGTGAAGGTGAATGTTATACACTTTTCATTTTAAGTAATGATGACAGTAACTTAAGGGCAGAGATATTTAAAAGCTATAAGGTGATATTGGGAAATCTAGGTTTGCATATTACTTGTTTCATCATGAATGCAATTTATACCTAGAAGTAGAAACGTAGCTTGATAGCCAAGGGCATGGATTATGTGTCCAAATTAATACTTGTATAATTAAGGTTGTATCCATTATACTAGGGGAAGGTAGTAGATGTGGGGACTGAGGCCCAATGTAGGGGTGATTCCCTACCTCGGTCCTTGGCTCTCGCCTCAACTAATTTTGCATAGTCTTTTTCTACTCCTTTCCTTTTCCTTCTCTTTTTCATCTCCCTTCTTTCTGTCCACTTATCCTAATCAACTCATTTTTACCCTTTTTGGCACAATACTTTATCATAATGATATTTTACCCTTGATGTCTGACACATTTATTTGTTTTGGCCATTACCCATTCTGGAAATCCACAAACATTGCTTTCTAGAACAAAAATGAATAAGGAATATCCATTACATTATTTATGTTTCACTTGACATATATAGGAAAAATGGTACTGTAGAGTCCAGGGAGAACATAATATTGTAGTGCTGAGATATTTACATGGAATAATAAAGCAGTCATGGGGTTTCAGTAAGATTTCTTATGACCATAAGGTAAATTTCTAGCCAATGAAGTTTGTGCTCTGTTATTTACAGAAAAGATTGAACTCTTCCCCAGAGTGGAAACACTCAACAATCAATACTTTTCTAAGTCTTAAAATCCTTTATTTGTGAGTGAAAAAAAAAATTAAGTGTAGTTTCACATGGACTTAGAGCTAAAGCAAATGTTAGTGTTTTTCTAATACATTTCCTTTTAAATAGAAAAAAAAAAAAAAAAATTGTCTTAAAAACATGTAATTTGCTAAATAGAAAACATGGCATTTTTTAGGGGTCCAGATGTAGTTGACCATGAAGATTTTGAATAACGTATATTAAAAATAACCACCCCACTCTCTTGCTCATTGTTGTCGCGGGGGGATTAGGAGACGGGAACTGAGGCCAATGTAGGGGATCATCCCTGCCTTGGACCCCAGTCCTTGCCTTAAATAATTTGCATGGTCTTTTATTCTCCTCCTTTTCTTCATTTCTTGTACTGTCCACTTGTCCTAATTGTTAAACTCATTTTTGCCATAGTACTTTATCATAATGCTTCCTATTCTCTTAACTCCTTCCCTTTCTAACAACCATTACCTTATATACACTCCATCAGTTCCCCCCTCTCTACCCTTTTCGCTACTCTAATTCACATAGTGCCATATGACCATTGAAGTCATACCTGGGGGCTTTGTCCTCAAGCCTCATGTCATCCCTCTATTTTGAATATGCTGCTAATGACCTTAGATGTTGATACCGCAGAAAAGTATCAATAAGTAAATAATAAAAGTAAAGCATGTCTGAATATAGCATTTTGTTGACCTATCCTTTTGAAGCCCTTCTTTCGTTTTTCCTCTCTTCTTCATCTCTTTCTGTCCACATATCCAAATCATTAACTCCTACTTACCCTTTTTGCCACAATACTTTACCATAATGCTTTGATGTCTTGTATATTTGTTTTTGACCTTTCTGGAAATCCTCAAACATTGCCATACTGAACCAAAAAGCCCCACCGTATTGCCGTATTTAGTATACGCCACAAATTATCTTAGATGCGGCAGAAAATTGTCAATAAATAAATATCCTCTTGAAGTACGTGATCATACCATAATTCTTTCCTCCCTCTCCCCAAGATTTGGAACACGAGAAATGTGATGCCTATGGAAAAGAAGGGAGAGAGAAACTAAGAATTTTTACCACAGCTGCAGGATGCCTGACAAAGATAGATACTCTGGTTAAGTTGGGGAAGGAGATGGAGGCATTGAAAGTGTGTGTTAGGTAAGACTTTTACACTTACGTGATCAGAGTTTGTATGGACATCGGTTTATACTAAGAAAGATAATCAATTGGTGTTGATTTCTGACAATATATATTGCTCTAATTATTGTTGATACAGGTTGGACCAAGCACTGTCGTGGGTGAGATATGCAAAGGTGTTGGAAAACAAAGGATGGGAGTTGGTAGGTGTCATGCTGAAGGCGTTACTCTACTCATGGCTTGCATATCTTCATGGTGTCAAGAAAAGCAAACAGAGCCAGTGTCATTACCAGAGGAGAGCTACACAGAATTGCAGGATGCTACTAGATGCACCATCAAGCCCAGCCTGTTCAGAGCTCACCCTAACAGAGTCCCTTGCTCTAAATAATGTTTATAGTTACTTGACATCAAAGCTTCAAGATCTTAGTGCGAAGTGATTGTTCTAGTACTAAAGAAGAATGCAAGATATTAAATGATCTTCAAAATAAAAGTTATTTTTGCTTTTATTGTTTGAAATTACCTTTGTTGATTATTTCAAGCTAATTGTTTATGAAGAGTACTGTAGCCAGTATATTTTTTGTAGTTTCAATACAAAGGACATTTAGAGTCTAATATGCTGTATCATTCATGTTTAGTCTTACATTTTATATTTTTTATTTGTTTCTTTTTCTTTAATCTCTGGGAAATCTGCATTCAATTTTAAATAGGTCCCAAGGCATTTTGAATCGCCTGAACTAAAATTTCAATGTAATTTTTCCTATCTTTACACAACAAGATGAGAAAGAATTAAAACATCAGGTAGTAGAGGAATAGTACTGGATAAATGTAGGTGCCCTGAACTTGAATTTATTTTCATTATTCATTTACTTTTCTGTATCTTTGAATAAAACCTAAGATTAAGAAAGAATGTTTCAGCTGTATTATGCTTAGTTAAGTAAATATGTTATATTTGCAAGTTGAAATCAAAATAGTTCATTTGATTGGGATGTATTGGTAATAGAGTTGTGTTACCCTTTAAACTGTGGATTGGGATGTATTAGTATAAATTTTTTTTTTAATTACATCCAAGTTGCTTATTTGGCTTTATATATCACACTGAGTTGAGTTGTGGGCTGGGTCAAGTCATTTGCTCTGTAGCTGTTTGAAGGATAATGAGAAATAAGTATTAGTAAACAGCAGTTGCTATTTTGTAACTTTGGCTGTAATTTTGCCATTGAGGAAATGGGTCTACTATAATTTTAAATCTTTCTACAGAACCCAAAGAAATTCTAAGGCCCAATCCAGACAATTGTGCAGTGCCCTTCAGGCAAACACTAAAACCAAATAATGTTCCAATCCAACATTTAGAGGGTGGCTGGCAGGCATGAGTGTATGCCTGTTTATGTTTATGGACAACCACTACAGTCACTACCGCACCACAGCTTGGTATGCCATGTGGACAACGCATGTATGCCCAGTGGTAGCCGCTGGCCGCTGGGGACTGCTCAATCTGGTAACACTGTTAAACAAGTGTGAAATATTCAATCACTGCCCATTGCCTATTCATCTGGATTGGGCTTAAGTAAATAGTGCTGCATTCTCTGAGGGTAACTATACAGATGAAATATAATTCACAAGTAATTTACATAGAACATTGGAAGAGAAACCAATGTAACTAAGTGACCCATTATCATTGTGTATAATATGTTGTATATCTGCCTTTACTTTTCTATCAAGAACAATCAAGTTTCAAAATTACTTTAATAGCAATACCTGTGATTAGTACAGGTGACTTGGCCAAGTGTAACATAACGAAGTACAACATTCTAACAAGGGAATTGGATAACATTCAAAACTTTACTAGTTATCTCACTGCTGTAGTAACATGTGATTGCTTGTAATTAATGAAGAAATATTATGCCATTATTCCGCTTTGCATGATATAACAAACTACTTATAATATTGTAAATGAGAAAGTACATAATGTGATGAAAGGTAAATGCAAATTACTGCTCACCATTAGTAATCTTTATGCAGTGACTTCCCAGATCTTCCTGTCCATGATTTACAGATGAAACGTATATTGATATATTCTCTCTCTTGCATGGATATGGGAGTAAAAAAATGAAATGGGGGAAAAAAAAAAAAAAAAAAAAAAAAGTGCTTCATCCCAATCAAAGGATACAGAGTACTTCTGCCACCGCTGGTGTGTTGTGTAATGGTAAACAATTGAAACAAATAAATGTGCTAGACATCAAGGCCTTATAGCACAATGGTAAAGTGTAGTAGTAAAAAGGGTTAGGAATTAATGGTAAATGATCAGTACTAGAGGGCAGTATGGTTGCGAAAGGGTATAGGGTGAGGTGATGGGGCATATTATAAGGTAAAAGTTGTTAAAAGTGGAAGGAGTTAAGGGGTTAGGACTGGTATGTTGTGTAGCAATGCCTTTCTCTTTTAAGTTCACCTTAGTTCCCTACCCTAGTTTTTGTTTCAAACATTTTTTCTTGTTTCTTTCTTTCTTTCATATAAATATTTAATGGGAGTTCTGAAGCTCTGAATTCGTTTTTGAGAAATACTTAAAGAAGTCATGATTTACACCAAGATTAAAAATGTAGTACTTTGTAATAAGAAAAGAAAATTCAATCATTTTCTCAGGGAAGTAAATCAAATCCTTAGTAAAAGAAATGTCTGTCTGTTTTGTACATATTGTTAACAATTATCAAAACAATTCCAACAAGTGATGCTTATACTGACTGATTATCTACAAAGTTATCTTTTTTATTTTCTGTGTCAAGAAGCATCATTATGAATAGATAGATGTGGTCCTGCTTCTTCATCCCTTCTCCCTGCTATCCCTTGGAGACTAGTACATGTGCTCACGCCACATGAGCTGTGCTCTGTTGACATCTCAACTTGTATTACAGTGTGGAGTCCTCCTACCCTATCCAGATGACAACAAAATCACATTTGTAAATAATAACAGAATGGTGCATCCTATTACATACATGAACTATATCACTTCAGTGTACTGGTTACTTTACAAAGACTCAACATGCACACACACTACCTGTATATCTATATTATATTTATTTATTAATTTCCCTTGAAGATGTAAATGTAAAACTTCCTAAATATGCCAGCACCATATAATGGCACTAACTTGTCCATGAAGCAATTACACAAAAGACTCCAGTAAAGATGCCATGCCCAAAGCAGTCTGCACTCAATGCCTCACCTAAAAACAATGGGACCAAGCTTTGTTATGACAACACAATCTGCTGACATAATGTAAAGCTTAATGTTCTCTTATCTGGTTATCTATACTGTACATTACATAAACTGCTGCCATTCTATTTAAGTCCATGATCAGGGAATAGATATTCTGATCATAATGATATGAGACAACAATTATTTTACTCCCCTGCAATTCATGACAGGATAGCATAAAATGGCAAATCAGCTGGTTATATTATTATACATGTACAAAATATATCTCCTAATTTTATCAATGCTTGTGTCAAGGGGATGGGGGAGGGTAATCTTTGTTTCTATCCAAATGTAAAGAATATAGTATTTCATATACTATTTTAAGGTTTTGTTGAAAGGTTAGTGGAAACTATCTATGAAAATCCTTGTAGGCATAAGCACTGAATTACTGTGTATTAGCAGGCTTCCTTTCATGCTAAAACATGTGCATATATTTTTGCATATATGTGCATATAGTTTTGCTTGTTTAATTGCCTGCAATGCAATAGGTACTTTTTATAAAGAAAGGGGAATAAAAACTTATTACATTCACCACTTATGATCCTTATCAAATGTTGATGTGCTGGGAAAACTTAACAATTCAAATTTAAAGCTGCATTTTTAGTGGAAAAAACGTTTGTCCTGATAAGTCCCTTCTATTTCTTTTTTTCTATTTTCTGCTTTACTGTTTCAGACTGTAGCATTAATAAAAGCACCAAACTAGCAAAGGGAAGGGCAAAATAAAAGTTTCATCTTGAAAGGAATGATAACAAAGGTAGCAGACACACCATTCTTCTAAACCTCCATAGTCCACAAGAATAAAAGGGAGGCAGAAACACAGGTTTGTATCACTGGCCCACACACACTACCAGTCTCTTCTTCCCACTGTAACAAAGAATACCTAGTACAAGTGGGAATACACTGGCAACAACTTACTGTAATTTTCTGATTTTCCCCTGATCTATTTACAATCCATTACCCCTATACAATGTTTTTTTATCCTACACACACCTTTGACACTAGTCACACCAGAGACTGCCAGTGCAGGGAATAGGGTATCGGTCAAATCCCATTTGGCAATCAAATTACTGTACACCAACATTCACTCATTATCCAATTATAAATCCACAGCCTAATTTGAACTGATTCTTGGGATGGTTGAGCATGGCAGACAAAGCCAGTGTAAAGGGTAGTGGTAACAGCTTCTTTTCCATCACTGCTCCCACAGTCCAGTTAGAGTCCAGTGTCCCTGCAAAGGCAAATTACAGTTTTACATGTGTAAGCACAATCATATCAAATATATCTTTGCACATGATATTACCAGCAGTATAATGGCAAAATTTTTATGGATTCCTGTAAAAGCCCTTGAGAAAATGAACTTTCCAAAGCAATAAATATACATGATCACAATATTTGTTGTATTAGAGATCATACAAGATACTAACCTCTAAAAACTGTATTAGCTTTGGGAATCTCTAACTGATATGCCATAGAGGCAACAGACTCCTGCATTCGTAAGCTTGTCTCCAATTCTACACCAAACTGCAGCTGCTCTGTTGCCTTCTGATAATAACAGAGGTGGATACCTGCACCTCCTAGTGTGCCAGAAGCTATGAAATTATCTCCTGTTGGGAAATGAAATCATTATTTGTTAATAATAATGCCTTAGACAGATGGCTAAAAGATAGTTCATTCCTGTTCTATCACAGAAGAATTCTTATATTAATTCATTGTAACTAAGAAATGACTGAGTAAATCTTACCTGAATATCTCCCAGCCATTGAGTAAACAGCAATGTGCCCACCGGGAACTTGAGAACCATACTGGTATGCTAATTCTGTGCCGAGAGCCAGTTTCTTGGTCACTTGCTGAAGATAATGCATCACTGCCACTCCTGAACCATTGATTACATCTATATTACCTAGAGTAACTGATGCAGTGAAGTCAGAACCACGCCAGTCTGTGGTTAGCTGTGTAGCCTGCCACTTACTCTGTTGGATCTGTCATGGGATAAATAAGAAAGATGAGTTTCATGGCAATTTCGTCTACATTTAATGCTTAACAGATATTCATAAACACCACCTCTTTATTACTGTACCTCTTTTCAATCTAGATCTTTCTTAATAGAGCTCTTATCCCCTTAACTAAACCTTTGCTCTTTCCTTCAACCTTTCCTTCATTTTCCCTTCCTTCAAATCAACATAAAGAAACTGAAACTTTATTTCAGTAGTTTTGAATAATACACCTGCTGTGCATAGCCCTTCCCAGTTACATGTCAGTATCAATTTATTACCTTCACCTTAAACTTTCTCCCTTCTTCAAAACACACATGCAACCCCCCCCCCCCCCCACCCCAAACACACCCATTCACTAATTCACATGCACTCACCTATACACTCATTTATTCACTCACTAATCCACCCATCAAACTATTAACTGCCCATCCTTCCAGTCAGTCCCTAATTCACTCACTCACCTACTTGCTAATTCACTCACAGTACATCAATTTCAGATCAATACTCACCTGTGCAACAAACTTTGCTCTGAGATTTGGTGAGAGTTGGTGAATGATGTTTGCATTGAGGTTGCCTGAAGGGTCTACATCACCTAGCATAACAGGGTATGCTTCAGAAGGTGATACTTGCTGTGTCCCTACAAAAGTTGCACCAAACCTGTAATAAATGAAATAATATTAAGACAAACAACTTAAACAAGCTTAAACAACAAACTTCATATTCAACCAAGTATACTTGTGAACTGCTAATTTCACAGAAAGAAATTTATAATGCCACATCTCACTGGACTGCTGTCTTACCTGTAGCCAGGTGGTTGCATAGTGGAGAAGTTGACTGTGTGTGATACCTGAAAGTGGTTGCTCAGACCTTTGTTCAACATGAACTTTCCTCCCTCAAACATCACAGGGAAAACATCTGAAACAAAACATTTCTTACCACTCTGTTTTGAAACATATGAGCATGCTGCAAGTTATAAAAATAATTGGATATTAAGAATGTGTTCTATATAAATAGTACAGATTTTTTACTTGCAAAATAAATATAAGATGCAAAATAAATAACTGTACAGACAATTACGAACTGCATGATTAGTGAAGATGGTATAAATTGATTTTGATAACTTGATATACACTTTATATTTCAATACCCAGGAGTATATTTTGTAAGAATTTGTCCTAATCTTTCAAGTGAGCAAGCATACACACATGCACGCACACACACACACAGTGTGCATGAACACAAACTCATACACACAGCATGCATGCTCATGCACACACCAAGTGCGCACACACACACACACACACACATAAATATATATATATATATATAATCTAGATCCTCCACAGCAAAATATCAAGATTTAAAACTGGCATTTGTTAGGGCATGGAGGTTAATGGCAAAAATTATTAACAACATTTACCAAAGATCAAGATGACATACCAGTACATCACATATCGCTCCCCAACAAAATTATCACCACACACATAATAACAGTCCTTCCTACCTAAACAATACATATCAATACCCCTCACCCCCAATCCAACCATCTTCTTTTCCCATTCCCAACAAGAAAAAAAACTAATCAATTGATGTAGCAGAGAATGGGCCTACAGTAAACTTTTATATGAAGAGGACACTGAAACCTGAATCCAGATGCCAATGTACTATCAACCCATATGATGTGCTAAGTCAGAAGTGTCTCTAGAGAACCAAAAATGAAGGTCTTAAGAACGGGGTGTCTTGGAAAATGGGCATATATAGAGGTTAGACTTATCTGTAAACCTCATGTTGATAATTCAGATTGAACAAGTTATAAACAAAACAACATGGGGATGAACTGGGAATCATGCATTTCCCTGTTCTTCCCTGTATAAGCTAGTCAAAGCTAGCTGAGACAGACTACAGCACGATGCTAAAAGTAACCCGAGATCATAGAGGAAAAATGTACTCTGAACATAAAAAAGGGTAAGGATTAATGTTAGCAGCCTTCACCCCTTTTGCTAAGAATGTAATTCAGTTTCTGTATTAGCAACATGTAGCTTTGTTGTTTTTATTCAGGCATTTTGATTTTGAAAATTGTATACATATATTTGCATAAGCCTTCTGAGGCTTATGCAAATCTCCATGACTACTGTACAGTATTCTGCCACAACTGCTTTAAGTAATATCTCCTGTAGCTTTCCTGTAGCCTTATGAAACATAGGGAAGTCGCATGAGGCTAAGTCTGGATTGTACAGTGTGGCCAATTCATCTCATACTATACAATTTCAAAATGTCCACTATTTACTGAGTATTGTATGCAGGGACATTGTCCTTTTGGAGAATAAAGGTCTTAATGCCATTCCCTGCCAGCGATTAGTAAAGATGAACTTGAAGCATGAAGCATTGTCATAATCTTCATGCAAACAAACCTCCTCCCTGTATATTCAAGGTAGAGTTCAAACTGGCTTTACTTGACAAAATATAAATAGTAGCAATTCGTTTGCCTGGAGCCTACAACACTGCTGGACACAAATAGCATCCACTTCCTGATATTCCCCATCAAAAGTGGGGTATCCACTCCAGATACATTATGCTAAATTCAACTTTCATGGATCTAGCTGGAAAATAAACTTAAAGGAATAGTGTTCCTGGTAAAAGATACCCTAAGGGTTGATGGTCCCTAATGGTGTGATTATTTTGGTTGTTATACTTATAATAAAGCCTTTTTACTAGTTAAATAATCCATTGGTTACAAAAGTTACAAAATCTTAATAATTAAAATAATAGCTGATCTGAACCAGTGACAATTTGCATAGTATATCTGGAGCAATCAATTGTGCTGGTGATAACAATCATTATTACACACCTTACAATCAAAACAGAGTATATCTCTAGGTTGCCTTCTGTGACTGAATCATGCATTTTCATGGGATAAGTTTGACAAAGCTTTGCAAAAATGTCTACTGCCTAATCCTGCATATAAGTCATTTGAAGCTAAAACTCTCTCACCAAAACTAGAGGTAACTTATATGCTGCATATAAAATGTAAACCTTCACCAATAAAGGGTGGACATGAGAAACTGCCTGCCTAACACCCATAGTACACGACTTCCCATAACTCTCGCAGCCCATCACAATCATTTCCTATCTAACAAAGAGATTATGGTTAATGTTTCCGAGAGACAAACAGAGATAGGGGGAAATGGATACTGCCATCTTACAGACAATAATAAATAGAGTAATAAACAACACTTACAGCTGCTGCCTCATATTTACCGCAACAAAAAATCCTCTGCATATAAATAAAAGGCATGAAAGTTAGGTTTGGATTTTTGATACCCTGGTTTTGGGTCTTCGTCTCAGGAAGGTCCATAGCTCTCCGTGACAAATACCTAGATTATAATGATATCCCTGACATAACTAATAGGGTCATATAGGTTAGGTGAGGCTGGTTTACTCTGGGTTTGAACTCGCTTGCACCTAAAGTACTTTAGAAGAAAAGTGTCTAAGAAGTGTTTGATAAATACCAGAGTTATTTTCCTTTCTATACAATTAGGCCGGGGAAGTGAAACTACTTTGCTAATAAGGGTTGTCTTAACCACCAAATTTAAGCCTAATCCTGAATTATACATCAGAATCTAAGTAGTCGGCTTGTTAGCACGAGATGTGTGAGCAATGCTGGCCTTAGCCAATGGAATAAAGATTCAATCGGTTTGCAGACTGCTACATGACTGGACTTTTCATTGCAAATAATGTGATATTAAGTCTCTTTTGAGGCTATTACTTTACTTTGCATTTTTACCATTACTTTACCACATCTCTTCCCATCTCTGATTTCATGCAAGCTCATGATACAACTAAGAGAAAAATCTAGAATATCTGGGAAGAAGTAAAATAAACGCTTATCGTCAAAACCTAATCTAACATAAGCCCCCCACACCTAATTCACCGAAACATCGAGAGATAATGAGATTTCAAAACGCAAATTCGAGAGCATTATGAAACACAAACGTCCCCTCCCACCACGACTTAAATCCTTCCCCTCGACTTCGGCATATGGCTGTGGTTTCCCCGGTCACCCTTGGCACTGCAGGCACCACTTCCCCGACAGCCCCAGAGAGCTTAAGGTGATAAAAAAGTGCAAGAAATGCTTTACCTTTACACTGTTTGTGAATGTCTTCCATCGTCCCTGGATTCTCGATTCCCCCCTCTTTTTCCTCGCCCTTTTTAGAGTCATCTACGGGCGTGACGGTGGGCGGCGTGGGCGCAGGGGGTGGAGGAGGTGTTGCAGGGCCGGCTGCATGAATATTACCCATAGTGATGCTGAATTAAGGCCGAGAGGAATGAAAAAACAGAAAGACGTGGATCTGAAGCAGTCCTCACGCGGGTCCTGCAGACGACTCGGG